ACATAAGATGTCCAAAAACTATCACGGCCAATGAAGGTCTAGTTCTCTATATATAGTGTTGAGAGTGATCGAGTTAGTTTTCGAAGAAAAAAATACTAATTATTCAAGATTGGAGTATTAATTACTTGTTTTTATATACAAGGTTTTTATCAAAAATAGATTGTCTGCAAAGAAAAAGTTTCTCTAGGAAACCCAGGATGATATGTAATCTAACATTCAAAGCTCGTTTATTTAAATTTGATCATCTGGTTGTAGTTAACATGTAAATGAACCGGTTAGTCTTCACCAGTTGAAAACAAATTTATTGATGTGTTATTTTTTTTCTCGCACACAACATCTCGAGAAAAAGTTCAAGTGCTCTGATCGAAATATCAAGTTTATTAGTTTGTTTTATTTTGTTAATTAGCAGCAATATATTTCATTTCAGAAAAGAACACAACATTTTCAAATTATCTTATTAAAGCTTATTTAGAGATCAGACTAAAATTTCGATCATTCTTCTAGGAGAAACATTAGGTTGCTGTGCAACATACTCATAGAGTAAGATTCAAAATTTAAATTTTAGCAATTATTCATTGAGAAAATACTTCGCCTCGGGTATTATACAAAGCGGTATCACCTATGTTTTTTTTTTAAGAACCCTAACAAAAACAAACGAACTTCTTAATTTTTCATCATTTACAATATTGACTTACAACACACACGTGGACACTTATCTTAAGATAGATGAAGCTAATTATATGATTGACTTTTAATTGCTTTAGTTCAACAAAGAACAGTACAATCAGCTAAGTAGAATTAGCAAAACTATAAGTGAGTACTGGCCCATCAATAAGAATACAGATTACACTTCAATATTTGAATAATGAACAATGCGCTAATCTGAAAGTGTCTAATTCTTCGTTATTAATTGTGTCCTCTTTCTTAAGAGAAACATATGCACTTAAACATAACTCTTATGTGTCACGACACACCATTCCAGTGATTTTCAACAAAACGTTTGTTGTATGCTTGAGTACACTGATTGTAGCACGCGATAGTAGAATTTTAAAATTCTTCTCACGTAAAACTACGAAAAGAAAAAGAATATAATTTTACTCTATCATTATTGAACTACACATGGATTGTACCAAATAATTATTTGCATGAGAAAAATAAAAATCACTCAATTTGAGATATATTGTGCAAATTCAGTCTTCCGGTTAGATTAACATGACAGAATTTTAAAATTATAAACTCAATTTGATTGTTTGTGTACATGCCATCGATTGAAATTGATACATGCTGAGAGAGAGAGAGAGAAAGGATTAGCTGCTTCACTTCAAAAGGTTTCACTGTTTGTCGATATCAGTGTCTTAATGGATCACCTGTTTTATCGTTACACATGATTCGTTTTGTTAATCTATCAGAAAATGAACTAGTAGTTGACTTCAGAATTTTGACGAATCGTTTTACATCATCACCTACGAATCTGAAGCGTAACGGACATTTTCGTTTTAAAGTAAAAAGCTTGCACTAATCTTTTTCTCGTTCAGTCTCAATGATAATCATGAAAAAAAATTCTATTCCATGCCTTTTCTATTCCTTGCATGTTTTTCAATGAACATTAATAAATCAACTCATAAAATCTTGTTGACATTCAAAGTGGCAAATAAAGTCAATTGTTTGTTGTTGAATACTAATCACTTCCGCATTATGCTTTACGTAAAAAATTTATATTGGTTCAAGAACAGACTAATAAAACATTTGTCACAAATAATGCATATATTTGTTTTTGAATTTTCTCAGAATATAATTATTTTCAATTAAAACAATATCAAATTGTTTATAGATCATATCATGAATCTCTTCTGAAGACAAACATAAAATTAATTCTTTTTGACGTCATAATGAGAAAAAATAAATCGATATTCTTTAGCCGGAAATTTGAACTGTGATTAGTTTGATGTGATTCCATATCGTTATTATTATTCTTTTCTTAGACTATCTTCATCGAATGCATTAAGATAAAATATTGTCGTTTTGCCATTATTGAATTCCCTATCCGGTAATAATTTACCGTTAGTGTATTTAAGTTCAAACTGATGAAATTTCATCTCAAGCCCATCACACTTTTGAGATTTCGTACTCGAACAGCGGCACACGCCTTCTTTATCACTTGTAAGTGCGAATTATATAAAATTGAAAGTTTTTCTTATTGATCAACGTGTTATACTACTTGACAATGTCATCGAATGTCCTTTCTAAATGATCTCATACAATAGACGACAATCGATATATAAATCTTGAGAAAATAGTCATGTGATTAGAACTTCAAATATTTCAATTTTTTGAAATAACAATCCTTGTAGTTATTGAATAGTTCATATTGAGAAATATAACGGCTGTTATCAGTTGTGATCTTTCGAAAAAGATGTGTTAGAGTAAAGTACAGAGTAGAATGCAGTCCATTCTCGCTTGTGCTATTACTCGTTTGTTTTAAGGCTGTCGACACATATAAAGTAATACGCACAAGGAAGGAAGAAGAGGCTTGTTGTTCTTATTCTTGCTTTCCTTTTCTCTCTCTCTCTCTCTCTCTCTCTCTCTCTCTCTGTCTCTGCCTCTCTTTTCTGTCCCAGTTTCTTTTCTTCCTTTCTTTCTTTTTTTTGCTCGTTTCTTCTTGTAGATTTTGTTTTGCTACTCTCCCTTCGTACGACTACGTTGGTGTTAGTGGCGGCCTGTAGTGTAATCGACGACAACGACAACGACGATATACTGTCCCTTACCTCTTCCTAAATGTTTTTATGGTCGTACTAGTGGGTGATCCATTTCCCAATTCATTGAAATACACTCATCTTTGACGGTAAGTAGAATACCAAGACTAGATAATTTCCATCATTGACCTACCGCATGCGTATATAAAAAAAAAAAGATAAAATTCTTTTCTTTTAGTATTTGTTAGGTCTCTAATTGAATTAATCATCTACTATATAGGACTAGTCAATGGCAACAAGAACAGGGAAAGCAAATTTAGTCTGAAATATGTTCTATAGAAAAGAAAAATACTTCATTTGGGGTGTATTATATGTTGACCGTGTTGTCACTAAAAGATTTTATCATTGAATATAAAACATGAATAGCTACTTGAAATATCATTTTTATCTGTGTGTTATTAATTAAAACCAACGTTCATTTAATCATTCTTTTGTTTTGTTTTTCTATTCCATGTCTGCGTGTGCTTTATGAGAAGAAAAAAGAATGCGATAACATGGAAGAATACAGCAGCTGTTTTTGTCGAATTACTATTATCAAAACGAAGGATAGCTTTTTCTTTGTCTTTCTTGACGCATAGAAACAAATGATGAAATAAGAGGCCATCACTTGTTTCGGGTTATAGATGAGAGCATTGATTGTCAACACATCGTCATTTAAAAAAGAAAACGAAGAAGAAATACAGAGACACAAAATGAGGTTCTCAATAAAGCATGATATAGCTTGTCAGTTAGATTCGACGAAGGCAGTGAGAAAGAATCATAGAATTGACTTTCTATTTTATATGCCACTCAGTAATATAAAGAAACAGAAAAAAAAATGAGAAAGAAAGAAAGAAAGAAAACTCATTAAAGCTACATCTAGCTATTTTTTTTCTCGAGTAAATAGTCATTTTCAAAGAGCTAAGCCAAATACAAGACGTGCTAAATGCATCTAGTATTATCAATATGAATGAAGCAATACTGTACATATCGCCATACATCGATCTATTGCACCTTTAGCTATCAAATCAGACTCTTTCATAATTGCACGTTACACACCCCATTTCCTTTCGCTCGCTAATAAATACATTGCATATCGCGACCGGAAGTCGACGACTGTTCGTTCGTTGTGACGACCGATCTGTCTGTGCATCTCTCTTTCTCTTTTCATTCGCCCTCCCTTCTCCACCCTTTCCTTCTTCATCAAACCCATGATTCTCGTTTTTCTTGTATATTGCTAATCTTGCATGCAATAACTGCGGCAATGGTCGTCGCTGACTAGCTAGACTGATGGTGATGAGTACATCGTGTGACGACGAACAAGAGAGTATTCGCCTTCTCTCCTTTCGGTCGGTTTATTTCTTCTTATTCTGCATCTTCTTTTCATCGGTCTATTCGCGTTTTGTGTGCGCTTGATTTAGCTTGAGAACATAGAGCATAGAGACAAGGCGAAAGAGAGACACAGAGAACGATGTGCCTTTGTCTATTATAGATTAAAACAGGGGAAAAACTAACAAAGACCTCCACACGCACAAACATACATATACATATATTTATATATCTATACTCATTAAAACATATCGTGTAGTAGTGTACAAGTAGTAGGCTTTTAATTAGTCGAAAAAGAATAAAATCCAAATAATATATTTTTACTCAAAAAAAAAAACGAGAAAATATGTCAACTATCGTTGCTCATCAGGTAGCTTTCATAGTGTATATTAAATGAAGAAAAAAAAGCATCTCATCGAGATATTTACTTTTCTCGTGTTCTGAATTTTGAATAGGTGTAAGTTTTGATAAGAAACTATTTAAATAAATCATAATGTCATGTTAATAAAAACGTTTTTTTTTGCATGATTGAAATTGTGTTTAATCCGATTTTGTTTTCTATATTCATCACTGATATGCGAAACAAGATTCATTTTTTATCGACATCGTATGACATCATTTGATAATGTCGCTATTGATGCTGTCCTGTTCTGTTTCGATTCGATATATATATATATATATATATATGCACACAGCTACATATGAATAATCCATAGAAAGTCGTGGTCATTTTTCTTTTTCTTTAACCATTCGTTTATTCGTCCTTTAAATCTACGTCTTGTCGTTGGAGTGTTAGTTATATGTTTATTTGTCACTTCTCTTCGCATATATGTACTAAATGACATCATCTTCGTCGGTTAATAGTCGACATCATCGTCAGTTAGATACAAGTCTTGAACGACAAGCTCGTTTAGCTGCTGCGAATGCGGTTGCTACTTGTTTTTCTTCTCCGTTACGTCGACAACGTTCTGCATCGCTAAATACCAGTTTTGACCAAACTCGCTGGATAATTGTCATGCCAACGCTCGAGGTGATGTATCTTCCTTTTGCTTACTATGCATATATGTATATAATTCCGCCTCCTTACTATTTCTGTTCATCAATGAGCACAGCACGAAAGAAGAGATAATTAAATAGTATTGGATGTGTTTCATTATCCTCTTGTTAATTCACAGTTGAATTATTCCAAGTTCGAACTAATTTGATACATCCCGTCGACAGCACTGTCTAATGAATAATTCAGTGATAACAATCGATTGATGACCTCACATTGTAGTATTAATAATTGAATGAAATGACATTCAACAATCAAATGATTGGTTAGATTTATTGAAAAGAAAATCGAATTTTTACTGTAAATTTAAAAAAAAAAGAAACAGTCTTGCTCTTTTTTCCTGGTATACTAGAGTCTCTTTTCTTGTTGAAGCTAATTGTTCATTATATTCTTATTTGTTTATGTGTAAAATCGTTTTTTTAGTGACCTGATGTGCCCTCCAGATAATGATTCGACGAGATACGAAGCTGACGATATAGCACCAGGAAAAGGAGAAGATATGTGATGAGCAGTATGTTTGTAGATAACAGTCAGTTGCTTATGAGATGAACCGGCTGCTCATCTATCAAACTATATATATATATAGCTATATGTTTATGGATGTATATGGTCTCGTTTTTTTCCTTTCTTTCTTCTCCTCATCTTTTTCTCTCTGTGGTATTTATTATCTCTTTCTCTCGACCTCTCTTCTAGTGTTCATCTGAACATTTTATTCAGGTTGTCTAACGCCAAAGTGAAGACAAGAGTATATATGCGTGTGTACTTCTATTACGGTCAAGATCAAAGAACTTTTAATTCTTAATAGTTTTAGTTTAAATTAAAAAAAGAAAGATATGGTAATCATGACAGCTACAGCTGCTTCAACATTAGTGGTGAGTCATTCTGGGTGTGTGTGTGATGTTGTTTTTTCTCTCCATATGTGATGACCTTTTACATGATGTATGTCAATGAAGAAAGGTAGCAAAAGAATTCAAAAAAATAATGCTCAGCGTTCTGTAAATGAAAAAAAAATTATGCTTTTTTTGCGACTTTCTGTCGAAATGAGTCTGTTTGACCCTGATGTGCATGCAGGATAGACTTTTTTTGGTTACAAACAAGAAGTGATTAGAAAAAAACATACACGGTTAAATGTGAATAGAGGTAATAGTGAAGGTAACAAATATATATATATATATATATTTGTATTTGTCACCATGTATGCTAGCAAGTGTTTTTTTTTATAACGACAGGTGGATGGTTCGTTAGATTTTTTTCTTCTTTCTTAATAAACTGCATTTTGATTGAATATAACAATGTAGTATTCTGTTCGTTATTTTTAGCAACCGGCATCTTATAACACATCGCAAACGCCTTCTTTACACCATTTAATTATTGATCCCCATTCATCCGGTCACGTTCAACAACAACAAACGCAACAGCAACATTCAACAACAATAACAAATATGGCCTTAACAGCTGAACGTGAAGCCTATTTACGGCTGGCAGCACATTCAATGGAACGTTCTGAACAGATTGCACCGCATTTTAATATTCGTTCGCCTAAAGCTTACGGTGGTTATGTTGTAAGTATCTACTTAAAGATTTTTTTCTCTTCATTTTGATGCTCTCTCCTAATAAAATCAAGCGTCTAATTGAAAAAATATGAGAACGTACAATCTAGTTATTTCTATCAAAATCGTTTTATCTACATCTGTGGTTTTTTATTTATTTCGGCTGTCGCTCTTAAGATATTTTTAGTCGACTAAATGATGATGATGATGATGATGATGATGATAAAAGATGCCTTATTCATCATCACTACTGTTATATAAATATCTTTATATATATATTCTTTCTATCTGTAATTCTTCATTTTCCCCGGAAGTATTTTTCATTCATAAAAGAAAATGAGTTTTGTTTTTCATTGAATTTTTTGTTTTCTTTGCTATTAATGGGTCAATCCATTATAACCTTGGAAATAATAATTGAGCATAGCAATTACCCTATGGATCTTTTATTGAGAAAGTAGAACGCAATAGGAAAGAATTCACACTGCATATATATAAATATCGATAGATTTCTTTTTTTTGCATCTTTATCTGCTAAGAACAGATATAGCAAGTTTAGATGAAATTTCTATTTACAAAATACATACGAACTATAATAATATATTTTCGTATGTATTTACGATAGTGAAAGAATGAAAATAATATTTCACTGTAAGTTTATTGATTAGATCGAACATTCATTCATTTATTTATTCATACATACATTATCGATAATATCTAAATGTACATGTGCGTGCTGAAATCTCATCATGTCGTAGTAGCAATAACTTCATTGAAACTGATTAACCCGATACGTGGCACATGACATACAGAATGTAACTAGAAATTTTTTTTGTGTATACACGTTTTTATCAGAAGAATGAATTGTAAACGTTGTTTTTTCTTTCACATACCCATTGGAAACTATATATATATATATATATCGCATATTCGATGCCAATTAAGAATTCTGCGAAAGAACTAAAGAAACGTTGAAGTTGTTCAATGAATAGCTTAGAGCTATAATTGATTAGACTTCTTTTCTCTATTCTCTTTTGTTTATAGCTAACTATACTTCTATTCCCAATCAGACAGACAGACAGGCAGATAGATAGAGAGATAGGGCAGGCATCAATGAAGACAGAACATAAGAGAGTAGGATGTGGCACCAACATATACAATTTGTTTAATACTCTACTCAGAATAAGAAGAAACAGAAGGAGGGTAAGAAAAATAAATGATGCCGGCGACTATAAGCGTTTATGATTAATTCTAAGGCCACCTCCGGCTTCTCTCTCTCTCTCTTATAGTCGTTCAGTGATTCTCAATAGGCCGAATTCAATTCATATGTAAATATGGAGAGGAACATAGCGAGATGGAGAGAATCAAGATTTGTATAAGCGGCAGTTTCTCATCACATGAAAAAAGTCTTGAGCGTGTGTATGAGTGTATATACAGGAATAAATGCACTTATTGACTGTTTATAAACAATCAAGATATAGTTCATGTCGTAGGTCGAGTTAAGATTTATGTTTTACTTTTTACTTTATTTATGTCGCTGTTGAGTGATTAATCGAATGATTTCCACTGTTGATGGGCGAATAGAAATAAGACGGAAACAAGTTTGTTCTGTTTCGTCGAACTAACAGTAGAGATAAAGTATTAGAGTAAAAGATATGTCATGCAGCATTTCTCTTTCTCTTATATATGTACATGTACATGTATGTGTAATAGAATCCATATTGTATACGCACATTTTTCTTCGTCTGTAGTTGTCAGTTGTCGTCCATCGGTAAAGCAAATATTTAGGCCTCCCTTCGTTTCTACAGTATTTGCATTGCTATTCATTCATTTTTTTCTCTTTCTCTGCATATACATCGTGCTGTTCATGTAAAAGAACTTATTATATTGATGAGTTTTTACTATGATTACATTTCACTACTGCCTCTCTCTCTCTTTTTCTTCTCTTGCTCTTCTTACCAGTGCTATTTTGGTATTGCCATAAAAAAAATGGAACCAGAACGGGGAACAAACGAATACAGAAAGCTATTCTATTTGCTCTCGTCGTCCCACTCTATAATCAGTCAAAATTACGCACCGGTAGTATGCTCTCGTTTGATATATATATGGTCTATAGAGACTTGTATATTTGTGCGCATTTCTCGTTCTTTTTATATATTTCTCATCATGTTCAAGACGATCTTGTTTCTTTTCTTCGATAAAAACTATTAGTTTACTGTAGACCATATAAATAAATAAATATATATATATATATATGTATATCTACGTATCCATTCATACATAATACAGCTATTGTTGCTGGTATTACTATTATTGTTACTATTATTATTATTGTCATTATTGTTCCATTTTTTTTTCGACATGGAGAGCGACGTTGTTTTGCTCGGATTAATGGACTGGAATGCCGCATCGTCGGCAACACAGCTCATACCATTTCCAACAACAGCTGAAGTGTGCTATGAATTGTTGACAGGAGGGGTTTGTATACATAATAAATAACATCAGTTGTATGACAGAAATGAAGAAGAAAAAAAACGAGTTTATACTATATTGTCAGTTTTTCTCTATAACTGCTATGATACGAAATTGTATATAGATGTAAATCTATTTATGTTTACTTTTTCTTTTAGCCTCCATCTCATGTTCTCTATGATCAATCCCGAGCAACCTATATGAATGGACATCAACAAATAGTTAATCATAGTTTATCACCATCTTCATCGTCACCTCATCAAACCCAGCAACATCTCAGTGATACAAATTTGTATATAAAAAATTTACCACCTGATTATTCTGATCAAGATCTTGCTAAACTTGTGGAAGGGTAAGAAGAATAGTTATTATCATATCAAATAGCTGATTATTTTATTCTATATGTAATTATAGTTGTGGTAAAGTTAAATCAATGAAAGCAATAATTGATAAACAAACAAATAAATGTAAAGGTTTTGGTTTTATTGATTTCGAATCTAATGAAGATGCTCAATTGGCGATCGCTCAATTACAAAAAAAGGGATTTACTGCCCAATTAGCTAAAGTATAATGGAAACTATTCATTGCTGAAAATCATATATATATATATATATATTATGTGCATAATTTTAGTCTTCACAGCAACAAGAACAAGATACAACTAATTTATATTTTGCTAATTTGGATCCTCAAATGTCAGAACAAGATTTAAGACAAGAACTTAGTCAATACGGTGCAGTTGTTAGCGTACGTATTTTACGTGATCAACAAAAACAGTCACGCGGTGTTGGTTTTGCACGTATGAATGATAGAGAACAATGTCAAGCTATTATTAATCGATTCCATAATCAGAGTTTTCCAGGTTTGTATTATCTTTAATAAATTAAAACTAGTTTTGCTTATTATTTCATTTTGTTTTTTAAGATTTTCCTGATAAAAGCGTACATGTAAAATTTGCCGATGCTAGTAATAAAAATAAGAAATTATATAAGACAGGTTTAGATGTGAGTTAGATAACATACGCCGAATTGAAATTTTCACTTTGTTTTTTTTTGTTTTTTTTGAAGGATATGAAAAGTGGTCATCCATTGTATCCCATGGATCAAACTGTTTCTTATCAATCACCGACTGTAGTATTTCCTACTTGGTCACCAATGTCAGCACAACAAATGATGTCTCAACAAAATCCTCAACAACAACAACAAGCACCACCATCCATGGTACCCGGTCCACCACCACATGGAACACATCCAGCTCATCATCAAATGTATGCTCAAGCAGCACCACTTCGACCGCCAATAGGCGTTTTTAATCCAGCTATTCCGTCCTTTATGCCATTATCACATGGACCAGGACCAGAAAATGGTCAAGCATACGTAGTACCGATGCAACAATTACAGCAATTACAAATAGCTAATGGTCATCCAGGTGCATTCTGCTTACTTAATCCAGCACATCATCATGGGCATCCTCATGCAACACTTTATATGCCAGCGCCTCAACAAGCAGTCGCAGCTCAGCCTCAACAACAGTCCGCACCACAGCCACAACAAAATGATCCATCACTTGTTTCTTCACAAGTATGTTAAATTAATAGCTGGAACAAATTGCTTTTTTTATGATTTTTTTGTTATTCCCTAGGATCTGTCATAGAAGACCTATCGATGACACAGGCGATCATTTGTTTGTTAGTTTTCTTTCTCTCCAATCTTTCCCATTTTTGCTTCTTCCTTCACACGATCTTTTGGCTTAAATGAGAGAACTTGCGTGGAACTTTTGTTCATTGTTCAACCACCAGGTTTCTTTCTTATGTGCCGTTTTTTTTCTGTCTGTCGCTCTCTCCCTTGTCTTCTTTTTTTTCACTTCGTCTCGAGTGCCATTTTGATGATGTTGATGCTGATGCGTGTTTCTTTGTGTGTGTGCGTGCGTGTGTGTGTGTGTGTGCATGATCGTTACTCTTGTTCTCTGTATCTCTTTCTACTCTGTCCTTGAGTGCCGTTGTTGTTGTTGTCACCGTTTGGTCGGTCTTCATCTCTTTTTTTTCTTCTGAAGCTCTTTTTTTTGTCTTGTTTCTTGGCCGTGCTAGGCAGCCAGTCGCCTTCCTTTTGTGTGTGTGCGTGTGTGTGTGTCTCTCTCTCTCTCTCTCTCTCTCTCTCTGTACGTATGTGAGTGAAGACAAACGAAGTCTGTGTGATGAAATAAGAGGGAAAACGTGTGGCTCTATTTTTTTTGTTTGTTCGTTGGCTTCTTGTTTTTTTTTTCATACACAACAATTCATGTTCATTTTTTTTCATTGTTGATGTACTAGTTTTTTTCGCGCATTTGCGTGCATTGATAACAGACTGCGATGAAATGATTTCGAGTAAGACATTTATTTATGCATACACACAGAAAAACAAAGAGACGAAATAAAAGAAAGAAAGTACGAGAACGAAATGAAATGCATATAGTATTATTATTCTAATCGGTTTTGTTATACAAAGTCATGCAATAGGATAATCTTAATTTTCTTTTTGAGAAGATATAAACAATGAAATTATGAAATTAGATTCAATTGTTCAACTGATTGGAATATAGAATAAAAGAATTTGTAATGCTTCTAACTCGATTGGTTGATAGCTGAATAAATGATGAGTCATTCAAAACAATGCCCTTAACGTACTAAATCAGATACATCAAGTGCTTCGCTCTCTAACGGACATTTTATTCAGGAATACATATGTATATGTACTTTTGCAATTACAGAAATCATTCAAGATGAATTTGACATGTCACGATTCAGTGTTAGTGTTCTGGAGCTCATTCTTTTTTCTTTCTAGGGATAATTCATCTTACGCTCATGGATTACTACTAAAATTTTTAGTTCTATAACAAAGAAAAAAAAACATCTAATTAGTAATATTGGAAAAAATGCTTCATGAATACATTTCGAGATACTATTTTTATCTACTCGACCTACAGTAGAAAATGAAATAGCTGTGTTGCTCATTTATATTATCAGTCTCAATGGGCACATTGTAGTGTTCGTGTAAAGTGAAATGGAAAGAGATAAAACACGAAATTTCAATTATATCATAAGATTAGCAATTGCATGATATTGTCGAACTAAAACAAAATCTTTTTACACATAAGAAAAAAAGAACGAGTATTTCTTTTTTTTATTTTTGTAATTCTTGTTGTATAGTCTCAATGATTGTATTAATTGATTTGTGTCGATTAACTTTGATAAAATGTCTTTCTCGAACGGTGATTATTGAAAGCCATCCATTATTTGCCGGATATGTGTGAAGGAAATGAAGTGTTTCCGTTGATTGATCTAGATTTATTGAAAATAAAATCAAACAAATGTCAAAAGATTGCATAGAAATTTATTTCTTACTATAAGACAGTGGACCTGAATGACAATCACGAATTTGTTTGGCAACAAGATCCAATTGTAGTGATGTTGCACGTTCAGCAATAAAAAATTGTTGAACAATAGCAATAGCTTGCTCTAGACGAGAAAGCATTTCTTTTTGATCATCTATTTTATTGGATAATAATTTATTTGTTTCTTTCGAACGAATCTTTAAAAATAGAAATCAAACATAAATTTTATTATTAATAGGGAAAAAGATTACTTTGTCAATTAATGATGACGATAGTCCATCGATTGAATATGATTCTTTACTTGGTGATGATAATGCTATTGTTGATGATACATCATCACTTGAAAACGTTGAAAATAACGCACGTTTAACACGTTGTGATTGTGTTTTCTCAGCAAAGTGACGAATTTCAATGGGTGATGCTAATAATTGTTTATAGTTTCTATCTGGCGATTCCGGTAATGGTGATATGTCAATGTCGGGAATATTTACAAAATCAAAATCTGGATGCCAACGAGCAAGATCATCATTATTAGGAAGTTCATCAAGTTTCAATTGAAGTTTATTAGATAGAAATGTCTACAAATATTCATATAAAGTGGTTTCAAAACGTGATCATAGAAAGTTAATTTCGATTATTTTACATAATGCAAACTAGTATGAAGAAAATTAATTTATCAAAGCTGAAGATCTCATTTTCCGGTACTCAGCAAGGATGAATAAAAAATTTGTTTATCGATTATATAGAATAATAAAGCTATTTATTGTCTGGCGGATGTGACAATTTGCAGGTCTCTATGACATTTATTCATTGACCTGTATGAATTTGAAGGAAAAATCAAATTTCTTTCTACCCTAAAAAATTACTTCTGGTCTTTATCTAAAAGGTGTTTTTCAATGAGCAAAAGCCAGAGAAATCTTGCAGGTGTCTCATTTTTTTAGAACAATAATCGCTCTGGCATCCTATTCAATGAAAATTAATTTTTATTTAGAATTTCTTAGTAATTAAAACCTAAGTTTCTGGAATACTTCAATATTTGAGTCTTTTTATTCGTCCTGTGAAATACCATTACAATAAGAGATTACAAAGAGACTTGTACGAAAATTTTTATTTTACCTGATGATGCTTTTTGACTAGATTCAGTAGAGAACGACGAAAACAATCAATACGTTCAATAATAATTGATGGAGTTATTTGTATATTTGATTGAATTCGAAAATCAGCTAAAAAATTGTATCAATTAGTGAAATTTCGATTGAATTTTAAATTTTTTTTATACTTGGAGTTATTGTTAATTCATAGTTCAGTTTCACTGGACTCAATGTTGGTAATTGAATTTTCTCTTGTTGAAATCCATACATTGTTGGATACACTGTTTTTATACGACCGAGTGTTTCTAATGTAAAGTTTCTACAAAGGAAAACATTTGAAAAAGACAAAACACTAAGAAATAACTACCGTTTAGTTTTCTGTTGTATAACTTGCTGAACTTTTTCAAATGTACTAATGCCTCCATTATTATGCGTATGACAAACAAGAAAATCAAGATGTTTATATTGTTCAAGTAATAATTCATATTTTTGTGGTAATGGTAATTCAATTGTTTTCGTCAGTGAATCAAAACGTTCGTAAGCTGGAATAGATGGATAACTGAAAAAGAAACAAAAAAGTACTTCAATTGCCTTGAGACAATCAATGATCGATATTTTATACCTTTTTACTGGTGTTAGTTGTGTTGGATGTTTGAATGGACTTGTTAGAACATCTCCAATGATATTAGGACGTTTAATAGGCGAACGAGAATGTGTTGATTTATATTTATATAAATCATTTCTAAACACACGAATACGTGTACGTATTTCTTCAAGTTCTTGCTGTCCTATTGAACCTTCACGCATTTTAATGGGACTACGATGATGAAGTGGAGCACTGTGATGACGAACAAATTTAATTCGAGAAGCAACTGATGATTTGATTGCAGAAGTTTGTGGCAATTCATCTTTATTCGCTGAGATAATTTCATTTGATTCAATACTAATACGATTTTCTGTTGGTGCTAAAATAGATTTCAAATGATACCGAAATGATAAATTTTCAGGAATTAGCGATAAATTACATGTAGACAATGCTGTGTTTGTCTCGAGAGGAAGATTTGGTGTGCACTGATCGAGATCAGCATCGAAGAATTCATTCTTTATGATTGATGGTTCATCGATTTTAATTACTTTCACTGGCTTGTCAAAAAGCGCAGCATTTGAAACAGATGTCGAACGACATTTAGAAAAGAAATCAGTAATTAGAAGTGTTCTTTGAGACATATGGATTAATTAAAATGATTAAATATTATTAAATTATTGATAAATCAAATAGAAAAATGTTTTCTCTTGACCGTTTTGATATACTCAAACTGACAATGGTCAATATGATTATGAGCATTGTTGACCATTGGTCAAGTGCTTAAGTCCTCTATTGTGATGAACAAATGAGGAAATCATACATAGATGTCGATCTGCTTGACGATTACAGGAATGCTGAACAGACACAAATTTTCAAAAATTAGATTACCAGACATTATAGCAATTAGAGGTCAATTAACTCATCAGATTATTCGATTGAGAAAATTACAGATTGGTCATTCAACGAAATTCTTATATCTTTTAATATATTAAGAGAAAAACTTCGATTATGTGATATTTTGCAACATGTTTTATTACTAAAAAAAAAATAATAATACTTTTTTCTGCATCTATTTTTTGTTTTCAATGCATGGCTGCTATTGTGATTTAATCAATTCCAAATCAACATATGTCTATTTAGTTTAGTGTTTCAATTTGTCTATAGATTCATGCTATTCTATCTGATCGCATTTTTGTGAAGAGAACGCATAAGGAATATATATATATATATATAAGTATTCCCTATTGTCGCCCAAAATTAGTTTTCTCATGAATGAATCTATGACAATTACGATCTCAAGAGCATAAAATTATCGGTCAACATATAGAATACAAATAGAAGATCATGCAATAAACATATATGAAAAAAGATGGGAATTAATTTTTTGAAATTCTAGAAAAGATATATGGAAACATAGGCTGCGAATAATTTGAAATTTCAATATAGTTCTGCTTCGTGTTATTTTAGTATTATTGGATAGAGTATTGATAAAGATCTTTTTTTTTAAACTATTCAAAATTTGTTGTTCTTGTAGTAGATACTAACAGTATTCGATTTAGAAAATAATCAAAAACGCCCATAAAAATTGAAATATACCAAAAGCTTGGCAGACTTGAGATAGTGTCTGAAATTTATGATTTTGATCGTGATTTAGTTAGGAAAAATATTGTGTATGATTATCGAAAACAAAACAAAGTTCAATTTTTCGGTTGAGAGTAGAATATAATACTGATAGAATTGTATTCTACGACATCATCTATCAGCATATTGTTTCTAGCAGAAGTGTTTTCATCAAATCTCAACAATATTTTTGGTGACTCTCGTGTGTGCTTCATTTATGATGAAAATTAGTTTTGAGTACTGAGTATGTTGTTCAGTGTAGATCTTTGTGCTGATTCAGAATAGGATATTGATTTAATTTCGAAACTGAAGCTATGATAATGAAAAGTAATAAATTACAAATCTCGATCTGTTGCGTTTTACAAGTCTAACGAAAACATCGATTTTCGAAAGCATGAAACAATATAGACTCCAAAAAATATTCATCATTTTTTACTTACAAACTATGCGATGATTAAAATGTCAAATTTCAGACACTATATGATTCAGTGCAGATCAAATTTTCTAGGCTCTTCCAATAGTTTTCAAACGTAGCAACCGTAAGCTTCATATAATTTTTGCAGATGATCAGAGCAATTTTATTGAAGCATCACTCAAAATGCTACGGTTTAACTAAATAGCATTATACATTGTTTCACTGTTGCAAAACATTCCTTATGTACGCGTAATACTGTTAGTCTTTTTTGTTTTGTTTATTTAACCTCGAACTTGACAAGCGTTTCGATTATAAACGATGATAGACACGGTTAATACAATACATTAAGAGTGTTTTTCTGAATTTTTTTCAACGATTAATTCAATTTTAACACTTTCCTCTGTACTATTGCTGTGAAAAATAAAACGCTCTCAGGATACTCGACAAGAAAAATATTTACAAAGCAAGAATATGTCTGTTTGAAAATTTCTGATTCGTAGTTCACAATTGAAGAACTGTTTATCCGTATGGTGACTATTAAAACGCTCAGCTCCCTGCTGTAAGTACTATATCAATTATGAGTTTTAGATATAGGTGTCAAAATTAAATATCCAATTTCGAAAGTAGCCGAAGTACCACATTATATTTTGCTATGTCTGAGAGTGTTAAGAAATCGAAGTTATACTTTGAATTCAATGGGACATTAAGTTAGTTTTGTATCAACAGTTGTCTTTCATTTGTATTCTAGAATGGATAAAATACGGCTCAAGTAGCAAACTCCTATACATCACAACAAGTTAATGTACCACTGCAGTCTGTTGCTATTGTATGTGCGAATACGTTAGTGTCATACTTCATATGTGTTGGGATTTTTTTAATTGTCATCTATGATGCATTGGTTATGGTCTTAAGATACTAGTAATAATCATTGTTGCGATAATAACTAGTGGAGGCGCTGTTGCTACTGCTGTCATGGCTGTAAACATGAATACTACGATAAAATGTATGTTTTTTTTGTTGATAGTAATAAATTCCTCCATAACATAATTCTTGTTTCTATATTCAATAGCGACTACAGCAACAACATCAGAAACTACGACAAGTATATTATCACAATTGCTAATGAAATAACATATTTTTTTTCTATTTCAAATAGCAACTACAACTTCAATAACAACAACTACTTCTGGTATGTAGATATTTAGTAATAGACATTTAAAATACATACGATGATATGTCTTGAAGACATAAATATTAATGATATTTTAAGAAGATGATTATTTTTTAAAAGAATAGATAAGCTATTTTATTTTACACAGATAAGTTTCTAAATTGAATTCTATATTATTAAATATTGAGTAAATTTTCTTGTTTTTTCTTCCATTAGAAACGACAACTACAACGGCAGGTGTTGTTGTAACAAGTACACTAAATTATGCTGTAGAATTGACTGGTAATGGTTATCATGGTGTCACAAAAGTTCGATATTATTCAGTCACGAACATGGGCAGCTCTATGAGATATGGCCATCCTATTGCTTATTTAAGTGGAACAACTTTTTCAGGAAATTATGTGAATAATGTTTGGCACGACCTTCACGTCGGTTATGAAAACGTAAATGGAGTTGCAAGTTGTACTGCAGTATACAAATCACTTTCTAAAAGCTATGCTGGAATAACAGCGAGTTACGGAACTGGATACATAGGTTCCTTTACTACTTATACCAGTCCGGATTGTGCTGTGTATATACTTCTAGTGATACGACATCGACACAATGGGCTGCTTACGGCAACCCAATGATTTACTGCAATTGTACATTGTGATTATGATTTCACTTAATAATCTTGAATTATTTTACAGGAGAAAATGACAGAGTATGAAAATAGGAATCTCTCTTATCCTAACTCTTCCATTCTTATCTTCAACCTCATATTAATTTCGAACAAATTCAGATTTACCCCTTCAGTTACTGTAGTATTTCTCTATTCAGTTTGAAATAAAATATAACATAACATATTTCAGCATACAAGTTTGATATATAGTTAATCGAAATATTTCTTGAAGTATACATGTCGTTTTAAATATGATACCGACAAAAATAGATACGGTCTGTTCAGCATTAATAACTTGAAACGATGAATTTTTCAATAAACATTCAAGCGACAATCATTCTTTTAGAACTGGTTTCTTTTTATAGTTTGTTGAACATGAGTAAACAAAGCATGGAAATAAACAGCTTATGACAGTAATTTTAATAAACTACCGTGATTCTATGTTTACAATGAGTCGAATTCTAATGAAATTGAAAAGAACACTCCAGAGATATTTCTCGTTTTCTACGTCTACTAGATCAAAGTAACTATACGTACATTTCAATTCAACAAAAAAAGCAACATCACTTTGAACTAAATATCTAGTGATTTTGTTAATTTTTTATTATTATTGTGATATATTACTTAGTATGAATGAAGACAAAAGGAATTAATTAATTAAGAAGATCTAAAATACACAGACGTGACGATAATATACTTTTTGTTTTACTCATAAGAACATGAAACATTGAACTTATACTGAACTAAGTATGTTAAACATAAAAACTGTAACGAAATTACTCATACATAGGCTTAGGTGTACAAAAAAAAACACAAGAATCTGACATATTTACATACAATTTAAAAGAGATTCTATTTAAGTCTTTTTTCTATTTTCTTGTCCTTGTTCATTGATTTGTTGTAATTTACTTTCGGTCATTGTTAAACGTGTTTCAAGTATAGCTACTGTCTTTGTTAAAATATCTAATTGTTGAACAATATGTTCAAGTGTATTTGTTAGTTGTGGTGCGTATGTTTGTTGAGCATTTGTTTCAATATCGTATGTTGCACGATTATTAGTTCTACTTGTTCCATTAGCCATTGTTGCCGAATTAATTAAACAAGCTGAGGCACTATTTGACTAGAAAAGAAACAAAAATATGACAATACAAAAAAATATTCGTCTTACACGAGCAATGCCATTTTCATAAGCTGGCCCAATATTTGTTATTTCAAGACGATCGTCATCATTATCGAATGTACGCATTGTAGATTTTCCATTAAACATATCAATCTAAATAAATTTTTATAGGAAATAAAACTTTTTTTTCTAAATTTTACTTTTCTTGCTCGGCGTTCATCACTTGTTTCTGGATTTGATTTTTCACGTAACGATGCGATTTGCGACTTATTTTGTTGAATATTTGCAGATGAAAGGCGTGATGTTGCACTGTAATCGTTAGTTGTTACATCACTACCAGTAGCATATTTATTACTTGCTGTATTTGTTGAATCGACAAATGGTGCAGTTGTATCAAAATTAGTTTTCCACACAAGAACCTTAAAAACAATAGAAAGATATTATTTGAATGAATCGAACTACGATTTACTTGTTGATCTTGACCACCTGATGCAAAATAATCGCCTTGCTTTGAAAAGGCTACGGTTGTTGCAGGTCCCTAGAAAGTAAATTCAAAAAACAAAAAATCATGTCTTTTGTTATTATAATTTTCTTACTTGATGACCATGTAAAGTATAAATTAGACGTCCTTCTAATAGATCAAATATTTTCAAAGTGGCATCATTTGATGCCGTTAAAAGAAAATTTCCGGTGGGATGAAAAGTAATACTATTCACTGAAGCAACATGATCTAAATAGATTTCAAAAATAAGTTTGTAGCCGAAATAAAATCTAGTCGTATTACTTGCATAATGTTGAATAAGTTTACGTGTTCGAATATCCCAAATTTTAACACTCGCATCAGTACAACCACCACCAATACATGTTCCACTTGGATGAAAAGCGACATCATTAAGAAATCCATGTGGTTCATAAAATGTATGCATACATTCGTTAGTATTTCTATCCCATATTTTAACTGTTTTATCATCACTACAGCTAACAATCAATCTTCCATCGGGTGAAAATTTTGCGCAACGAACCCAATTCGAATGCTGATTCAGTGAAAACTGAAATTTTTGTCGATGAACAGTCCAAATTTTAATGGTTTTATCTTCAGATGAACTTAATAGACTTTGACCATCGTTTGAAAAATCAACGCATCGAACAGCAGCTGTATGTGCTTTGAATACGGTTGATTCACCTTTGACGCTTGGAATCCATAGGCGAACTTTTTTATCTTTCGAACCAGATGCAATCAAATGACCAGATGGAGAAAAGCATACTGAATGAACAGCATCCTATGCAAAAGAAAATGGATTCATCAAGAAAACTGGAATGAAATAAAATATGTATTCTACATTGTGACCCACGAAGCGATAAGCTCGAACTTGAGGTTTAAATGGCCAAAGAAATAAACATGAGTCCAAGCTACCCGACACTAAAAATCAGAAATCATGAATAATATTTATTTCAAATAAAAATTATATAGATACCGAGTTGTTTTGAATTTGGTGAAAAGCTAAGAGACGTAACAGTACTACGATGACTTTTGAAATGTTTTTCTAATTTTGGATCTTCCTAATAAAAATCAATAAATAATAAGAGGGTAAATATTATGTTTGAGAGCTTACCATTAATTGTTTTACTATAGGAGTAAATCAATAGACATGATATATATTAATGTTAATTCTTTGTTCTCTTTACTTGCCTATGGTCGACACCCGGCATCAGTTCAATAATTACTCCTAGGCAACTGATGAGGACTCACAGCAGATGTATCGATTCAAATCTTATCTATTTTAAATGTATCGATGTTTTTTAAATTGATAGATAATTGTTCTCTATAATTTACCATAAAATATTATAGAAAGAAAACTGGTGAGAGATGGCGTAAGTTCACAGGATACGATCGTGAGCAGCATTCAAAGAAATATTTAGAGCTGCTGATAATTTGATCCGAACAACGTAGTAACAAATGATTGAGATTGATGTCAGCATTGGTGAATCCATACTTATTCGGCTAGCCAGCGAACATCACCCTCTTACGAATTTGTTTTTCATTTGCAGTCCCAGCAAAAATGAAACAGGAAGGAATCTTACTGTGTGAAATAGGCTTCGAAAGTGTCTTTTTAGTAGAACCGCCACTGACACTGTTCCGTACCGATGAACAATTTTAGGACTATTGACTGATTTGAAGATTCATTCCTCTATTTTTAAGATTGTGTGGTCGAATAATACAAGTTTTGTTTTTCACTTCGAATAACGTTTCTTAACGAACTTAAATAGCAGATCACTCAGCTCTTTATTGATCAGATCATTGAATAATATTATTTTACATTCAGAGACAATTTTTTTGTTTTAGAAATCTCTTCATAATCATATGCATGTCACGAAGGATGCATGCTAGATTTCTAAACATCAAGAAATATCACAGGCACTGCTTTCGTTGCTGCTGTTACATCATGAAACAGTATTTTAGTTTTTATCTTCCTCAATCAGGTTTTGATAATTTTGAAAGATTCTATAAAATAGCAACTCGTATTGTACCGTGCATGAAGAATTGGAGCACCCTAGCTGCCTCACAGTATTCTCTACCATTTGAAATACTTTCGTGACTGAAGTGATTAAATTTCAGATAGTTTATAACATGAAAAGATCACAACTAATAGGAATACCGAAATTGAACAGGCAGCAAATATTCAATAATTTAATTATATCTCGCTAAAACATTTGCCATCTTCGTTAAAAAGTACAGATAAACAATCGTCTATATCTTTATCAAGAATGAAGCAGGCATCTCAGTGTGGTGTGTGGGTGTCGTTCTGGTTATGGTTAAAAGCACAAAACAAAAAAAAACACGCCCTCAGACTTCAACACATCAATATGATATTTCAATCGAATTTTAGGTTCAATATTCAAATTGTTCTGAACTAATTAATTGTGTCGATCATGTACAATCCCTATCTAAACATGAAGATGAAGCATAATTTTTATGAAAATATTTCCATCATGAATTCATGCACAATTTTCATTGTCCAATTCTTTTTCATGTAAGAATCCTAAGCTTCAATCCTACTGCTCGATAGAAAGAAGTATTTTCAAATTTGTTTTATCTCGGTCGGATCAACCAAGCGCACGATTTATCAGTTTTACACGAGTAGTGTTTCTTCTTCAGACCACAACTGCACGTCACATAATAGAAGAATTATTGAATTCTGCAGGCTAAATCGGATGTTCGCCGCGATTTTACCGTACATTCCACTGATCTAGATAAAACACTATCTGTAAATTTTGAAGATAAAAAACGAAACAGAAATTTTAGTAACAAACTCTATCCGTAGTCAGAATTTGTTAAAAACATTCACTAGCGAGAACGATTAATATGATCAGAAAAGCTATCAATGAAATCAATGAATACGCAATCCGTTTTGTCAGTAGCTATTTAATTATTCATGCTTGTATTCAGCTTATTTTTGCGCGCTGTTGTTATTGTTACAGAGTTTCGTAAGGATGATCATTTATCAACACGTTTGCTTCATCCGTTACTGCTCGAGAAAACTCGTATTCGTCTAGCTGCTTATAGAGTTATAGATATATATATTTTTTTTGCTTTGTAGAAGTAGTCACAACTGAATATTATCACTATCACAATGTAAACATACTTCCAAGTTTAAATACAATCATAAGCTTCTCCAAATAAGAGAAGCAGCAACAAATGATATGCCCTACGACTGTCCCACTGAATTTCGAATGCTCCACAAGTTTTATTTAGGAGTTGATGATATAATACATCCAGGCGAAAATAGACAAACAACATTGTAAAACATAAAAAAAACCCGGAATGTTACCTGAGATAGTTTTTAAAACAAACAGCAGTATACTGAAGTAACAGTTAAAGTATTGAGAGAACGTAAATGATTATAGCCATGTTATGAACACACCAATAAACTATCAGAAAGAACAATCAGCAGAAGCTCTAATAGTTTAGTGCTCATGAAGCATGCCTTTATATCTTTTTGTGGCCTGCTTTTTTTTGTATCGGCAGTAGTATCAGTACTGGTTGTAGTGGTACTACCAGGGGTAGTAGTATCACTAGTAGTACAAGGTTTCTTAGGAATAGTTTTGTCAGTAGTAGTGCTTCCATTACTAGCAGTGATAGTAGTAGCTGTTTCTTGCAATGTTGTCGTAGTAGTAGGGATCGTAGTATTTGCAGCCGCGAAGCCTATTCTGTTGTTCGTTGCAAGTGTCACTAAAGTCAAATTTTTAATGTCATTATTTAGTCCGGTTCCTAACACTAAACATAAGGCTGAAACGATGACAACAATAGAAGCAGTGATCATTACAGCTATCACTCTAAACCAAGCGGTCGCCAAGGACTCCAAGTATTTATTCCTAAACTAAGTCAGCTCTCGATCATATCGAGAATACGTAAAGGATCATTACCGTTTCGTTCTTTTCTAATCGATCCTGTTACGAGTTTTTTCTCATCTGTATGCGTGGTTGTAATATGCGTTACGAACGCTTCTTTTCCGATAAAAAACACACGACCATAGTTACTATAAACATGTATATAACATCATATTAATCAAAGTAACAATGACCAACTACATCGTTTTCATGATCCAATATTACTCATAAGAAAATTTCCTTTCTAGACTATAAATCCGTCGTGATGCTTTTAGCTCTGGTCAATCCGTTGGCTTAAATCATAGACAGGAAGCACCGACACCGTCACCCATAAAGGAAAACGTTGCTTATCTGTATTATATGCATACACAGACACGCACACATAAACGTGAGGAAATATCCACAACGCAAGATATTATAAAAGAGTGGAACAGCGGGGGTTGTTTGCTTATTATCGGTATGGTAGAATACGAATCAGGTTTAGGAATACATACCTGGAGTACTTATAGTTGTAATGATTGCTGCTTCTGTCTCTATCATCAGTTTAACCTTAGATTATGTTTGCGGGTACGTAGAGATGTACAGTTCAAGCCAAGTGCTTTTTGGCTCCATTTGACTTGAAATTTTTAAGAAATGACTAGACTGGACTTGTGACTTGTTTTTATATAAAATATCAAGTACAACCTAAACATGTATATGTAGGTACAAACGTTATTTCACTTCAATGTCGGCTTTGAATTTGAAATGCAGTGGAAGAACAGAAATAAACATCAGCAAATATTTCCATGAAAAGAAGTTTTGTTGAAATAATTTGATGGCTGATGAAAGGGGTGGAAAATCTTTTTCCTGGATTTTTATTGGACATCTTATTTCCAAAAATCATTAGCATGTGTGTGTTTTCTGGTTTCGCTTTCAGTCATCGCCACAGCGATGGTCACAGTCGTGCACATACACCAATAGCGGCCACTCTACCCACATCCTTACATTCATGATAAATAAAAATATTCTTTGATATTTTGCACAGATTGTTCTAGAAAATTTACGTGGTACTACAATCAACTATCGTCGGTCTTGCTAATTAATATCATCCTTCTAATAATCACAATATCATCAGATGAATAAAAATAACATTCAGATTCTTTATTTTCTTTTTTTGAATACGCCCATGTACACTCATGGTGTTACAGAACGTAGTTATCTGTCTACACTAGGCAATGGAAAAGGTAAGATGAACAAAATATGCGGTTCTGTTATATGATTAAATGAATTTTTACCGAGATAAACATGATGAGGTCTAATGATCGTTATTTTTCTAGTGTGCATAGCAGATTCATATCATTTGCATGTTTTTGTGAGTATATGATAAATTTCTCTTTCGATAAGGAAATTTGATTCACGAAAACAAAAATCAACGTACTGTACATGTATCATTCAAGATTGAATAAGCACAACACGAAGGCAAAAACAAAGTGAACTAATGTAAATAAATCTGATTATTGGTAGCCGTAATAATTCAATATTTTCCTCATCTCAATTCTCTTTATTGTATTAAAATATCATAATACAACAAAACAAAGCAAAAAATATTTTAGTAGTCTATTTTAAGAGAAAATGAATATATTAGCTGCATGGTTCGCAACTTCTTCCTTCGTCGTCACTACTATTGTAGTCCTGAGTATTATCTAATCTGTGTGATCGTATATTATTTTCTACGATGTCTGCTTTTCTGTTGACTTCATCAATAAACTCTTGACAATGTCCTCCTAGTTTCTGATTTTTTAAAAAGAGTTTTTTAGACCAGCCATACGTACGACGCGTGCTCAGAAGGTCTCCATCTGTATATAGTCGATCAGCTTTAGTAAGATAATACTTAGCCATGTCGCATGTCATTCTTAATAATAAGTCCGCTTCGTGAGTAAACATTAGAACATAATCAAGAAATGGCATTGCCCACGGTATATTAGCACTTATGTAGCCACAGAAAACATAGATTGTATTGTATGATACATTTGCTACTGGATCAGTGAAGACTTGAGGAAAATCTTTAAGGATCCGAGGTACAATTTGCTTTCCAAGAGTTCCAGAAGTAATGAATAAAATACGTTTATCACTATACGTTGCAAATGCTTGATAACATGCATTTGGATCAGTAAATGCGATCAGTAAAACAAGTACACCACCAAACTTGACTGGTTGGGCCTCACCAACACGAAGAAGATAGTCAATATCTGTATCAGTAAACATTGTCCAAGTTTGATTTCGGGGATCAATATTACTTGAGAAAGATCTTTTCAAATTATGATATTTTTCCGGATCACCAATGTGAGCATCGAGCCAGATGATAAGATGATCCGGAGTTTTGTAATCATAATCTTCTGGTATTACACTACTTGAAAAATCCTCTGACATCTAGAATATCAGAAAAGTTAAAATTAGGCTTTTCAACATAAAATAGTTTCATGGAGAAAAATAAAAATATACAAAAACTAGTATAGCTTTGTCGATATGAAATATTTCTGCAAAAAAAATTTTTCATTCGCTTAAAACATGTACATATTCTCTGGTCAATGTCGAACATAACTGAAATTCTTTAAAGTAATATCCTCACGGATAAGTAAACAACTAACAGAAAATCTTTTTGTTGTATGATTGCGCCATTCTAAACCAAGAGCAAGTATAAAAAGAAAGAGAGCTGAAAACTAACTTCTAAGTGGTATGCTGGACCAGTACTGTATAGACTATCAATGCATTTGTGAATAGAAAGTAAACAATATTTTATATATTAAAAAAATAGAAATGATCCAAGGAAACTGATTTGAAAAGAATAATTTCTAAAAATTAATTATTTTGTGTTAGAGTCCTGCAGGTTAAGACTTTTTTGTACCCTAACCCTCCCCTATAGTAAAACTTCGTACCCTTGTCCTACCCTGCCCTACGACGTTCTTACCCTAGCCCTACCCTGCCCTATAGCTTCGTAACCTTGCCCTACCCTGCCCTATGGGCTCTGTACCCTTACCCTACCCTATCACAGAGATTTTTCATTTTACACCCTATCATATCATTTGAGTTTCAGGTCTAAGTAAAAGTCAGCATGAAGTTTTTCTTCACTTTGTTTCAATATAATTTATTGATTTTCAACGAGAATCAAATACAAAATTAATAAATTTTTCGAAAGTTGCTTAAAAATAAAATATCATT